TAAAAAAAAAAAAGATGTTTCCATTTTTGGAAAAAATGAGAAACTGCCTCAGAAGAGATAAGAGTTGTGAAGCCCAGGCTCTTGGCAAAAAGGACAGTTGGGTTGGGGTGGAGGGGTAGAGGCAGATCTGAGGTCCTTGTTGGGTTTTATCAGGAATGTTCTGGATCCTCCTAAGACCAATAAAAATCATTCAACCCTCTAGGTTAGAAATGGGGCTTAAAAGGGCTTCCCAACAAATGAAGGGTTCCTGCTGATTTTATCAAGCAAAAAAAATAAAAGGTTGCTCCCTCTACCCACCTCCACCACCCCAGCATCCAACATTCTCATCTGACCCATATATACATGGAGAAAGGCCCAAGGACTAACAAGGTGGCCATACAAGCACCCCAAGACTCCAGACTCAAGGCACCACTGATTCCCAAAAAAGAACAAGCCTATGTTTAAGGCAATCTAGAAAAGCACATATCACAGAAAAGTTCAGGCACTTTGAGTAACTTACCAGAGCATTTCAAAATGCTTACCGTGATCTGATGTAAATGCAACAATAGTGCTGTTGGCCAGCTGAAAATCATCCAAAGCACTCAAAAGGTGGCCAACCTGCGTATCCACGTACGAAACAGAGGCAAAGTAGCTCTGGCGTATTTTCCGCTACAAATTAAAAAATAATAATAATAATGAGAGACTGAGATTTAAATTGCTATAGCATACAGTGCTCACCTGAACATCCCTCCCAAAAACCACCCCTCTGCTGATGCCCTTAATTTTCTCACCGAAAATATGACATTCATTTCTATACTATCTACATCCCCTCGCTTCACAGTCACAGCGATTATGCAGGTCTATAAGTAAGATTCTTTTTTAAGGGGATCAGCTTTAACTTAGGGAACAGCAGATGGATGTGCCACTTACTGTTCCTTTCTGTCTCCTTCACATACTTTTACAGGTCCCAGGAGATGACCATGTACACATAAACTGATCCCTCAGTCCCTCCAAACTATGCTGAGGGTCATGCCAAAGGTACCATAAAGCTGTATCCATTTCCTGTTGCTACTATAACAAAGGATGACAGAGCTGAGGGCTTAAAAAACAGAAATTTACTGTCTCCCAGTTCTGGAAGCCAGAAGTCTGAAATCAGGACATCCACGGGGCCATTCTCTCTCTGAAGGCTTAAGGGGAAAGTCTTGCCTCTTCCAGCTTCTGGTGGTGGCAGCAGTCCTTGGCTTTCCTTGCCTTGCAGCTGTAGCACTCATATCTCTGCCTCTGTTATCACATGGAATTCTTCCCCATGTGTCTCTCTCCTCTTCTCATAAGGACACCAATCAGATTGAGTCAGGGCCCATCCTACTGTAGTAGGACTCATCCTAACTTGTTGCATCTGCAATGACCCTAGTTCCAAATAAGGTCACATTCTGAGCTACTGGGGGTCAGGACTTCAACATATCTTTTTGAGGAACACAATTCAATTCATAACAACAGCAGTGGGTGGACCTTTACTCTGACCACTTTTTCACCCAGCAGAAGAGAGTAACAGCTTATCCTCATTGGCTGTGGCTGTCATGTGAGGCTCATCTCTAACGAACTCCCAGCAGGCAAGACAGCAACGGTGGGACAAGAGACCAGCACACCCTCCATGGTCCCTAAACCCAAGAGGAACTTCAGGAGCAGCCAGGCCACGCACTGATGTAAAAGGGCCAAGGCCCCTTCTGGGATGACTTCCCTCCCAGCCTTGTTCACAAATAAATATTAAATAAAAAGATGAACCCCCACCCTCACCAAGGATGAGAAATAAGGGGGCCACTGACCTATCAGAGCAGCCACAGCTTCCAACATGTGCCCAGTAGCCATTTTATCAGCTGGACTCTCTGGCTTGTTTTCTCACTGCCAGCTGAGGACAATCATGAGACTCACCTCTTCTCCCCATGAGGTAAAAACAACAGATACCCATCCAACAACCTTCTAAGAGGATTATGCTGAACACTGGCCTACTTCAACTTTCTATTGGATAAAAGCTTTCAGTCTGTAACTTGGGGAACTTTGATCCTCCTGGGGATCAAAGGCACCTGTAAGGATGGCTATGTCCTATTCAGGATTATGCCTGCCTTCCTATGCTGGACCTTGGAAATAGGGAAAGAAACAGACGTGGTCCTTACACTTAATGAGTCACCTGTCCAGTGAGGACACAGGCTTGGAAACAAGAAAGAGAACGTTACTAGTGGGGCCCAGGGACAACATGGGAGAATGAGCCCTCAAGTCAGCCTAGGGAAATCAGGGAAGATTTCACAGAGGAGTTAGCATTTGAGAAGGGGTAAGACACTCTAAACAGGGGCTGCAAAGCATGGGATGGGGCAGAGTCACCACAGCAGGGTGTGTTTGGGGTCAATGAGCTGGCTGCTGTGGCTGGAGAATAAAACAAGAGGGCCAAGGGGGTAGGGGAGGATGCTGAAAAGGCAGATCAGGGCCAGATGATCCAGACCTAGTGGGTCCATCCAAGGAGTGGAGGTCCCACACTGGAGGCAAAGGGAGGCACTGAGGATGTTCAGGGTGAGGAGTTGATATGGTCTGGGTTGCAGGTCAGCATGACTCCTTAGGAAATAGCCCAGAGCAGATTCCAGAGGCTCAAGAGAAAAGGAAATTATATTAGTGCCGGGCACACAGGAGGGGCTCAACAGACACTTGTTAAATAAACAAAACACACCCAGACCTACTGCTTTGGTTGGGAAAGATGTGACAAAAGAGCCAGAGGCCAGTGTAGATTTGAGAGAAATTAGGGAGAACAAGTAGAAGTGGGAGAGGGGAGGGAGCAAGCAGAGGGAGAAGATGAGGACTCCAAGGATGACTCTAGGTTTCTCATTCACTGGGTGATATGACTCAGTGGTTGATTCAATGGAATGGAGGTAGCACAAAAGAAGGGGGATGAGGGAGAAAAGCAAGAACAGGAGTGGTGGTGGGGCCACATGGGGCCTATGGAGCTGAGGTCACCATGGGCAGTGGCCTGGGAATGGCCATTCAGCCAAGTGGACAGACACTTCTGAAAATCAGGAGCGAGGCCAGGGCTGGAAGAGTAGTTCAGCAGGGCTCAACTGTGGAGGAAGGGCATATAGGAGACAGTGGGGTCCCTGGGGCTGCACTCCTAAGTGGCAGATGCAGAAAGAGGTGGACATTTCCAGAAAGGGTGGTGGTAGTTAACAGTAAGAAAGCACCAGGGAGTCAGGGAAGGTCATACCTGCAGGACAGATTTTATTTGCCAAGGTCAGTGCTGACCCAGGTGAGCGAACTCTTTAGTGGCTTGGGAAGGCAGAAGGCCACACAGAGGCAGATGAAGAACGAATGGACAGTGAGGCCATGGACAAAGCAAGAACAGGCCACGTTTCACTCATCCTCCCTTGAAGGGCTGGTAAAAAACTGGTAAAGGAGAAGAAA